TGTTAAGGATCATTATGTTGTTGTGGACGGCATCTCTTTTTTTTTTTTTTTTTTACCATCAACTTTTTTTTCTCTCTTTTTTTTAACTAATACTGTGCTTACAGTTTCCAGAATTTGCTTAAATTAATTAATTCTTCTTTCTACTAGTTGCACTGGCTTCCACAAGCATAAAACATATCAAATTCAACCTATCCTGCACAGCTGGAGAGGGGTGCATTTGATTAAAATCACCATCCTTTTATTCTACACATATACCTTTGCCGAATGTAGCTCTAAAAATGTCAGTCTGTAGTACTTGTTTCCACAATGCACGAGGTTTGGTTTAGGTGTTGATTTGCAAACGTCTGATGCTTAGTTTTGTGGTAAGGATACAGGAAATGTTTTCTTCTGATGGTGGTCACATTTGCACAGCTGTTGCAGCACAACAGAACAGTTCAGCTTCGTGTTAAATCTTCCCGAAAGCCTTTTGCATTCAAACAACAGGTTTTTTTTAGTAATCCTACAATTTCTCTCTGAAAGTTCTCTTAGTTTTCCAAACCCCACCCTCTGTTTTTGCTAATAATTGATGTTTTTCAGAATGATAGGCAGCTGCTTTCATTGCTTAAGCTGTGAATTGTTCATTAAAAGCTTAAGTAGTGAGTCACAGCTTTGAAAATTTCATAATCTGGCATTTCCTTGTGAAGTATGTGCACAAAGCCCTAAAAACCAAATTTTGGTCTGACACTAGTCAAAACTTAACAGAGCACAGATGTCTTGGTGTGCATCGTTTCCTTTTTCACTTTAAAATTGTACAAACCATTCTTACAATGTTGAAAGAATGTTTCATCATCAGTGTTTGAACACCATTGTATGTTGACACGTTTTATCCCTTTTTAAAAAAAAAAACAAAAACAAAATGTAGGTACAGTGTAAGTCGCCCAGTGGAAACTCACATGTCTGGCACATCTAAAAATTCTGCTCAGCATACAAAGGTGAAAACTGACAATTTCAATAACGCACAAAACAATTATAAATGTAAAGCATACAACTTCACTTTTAAATTTTACACACCATTGTGTGTCAACAGGTCAGCGCTGCTCCAAACCCTCTGGCCAAAGAGGAACTGAACCTGCTGGCCAGGTTAATGGGAGGGTTAGAAGTTCAGAAACCAGGAAACGCAGACACTGGCTTCCGAATTAATCTCTTTGCTACTGACGAAGAAGAAGAGTGAGTCTCCATATATATCAGATGTATCAGATGTAATCGATTTTTTTTTCATTACTATTCCAAATGTGAAAAATACTTTTTATTGTCTTTGAAACAATCAGAAGTAACACTGTGACTCTGTTACAGAGAGGCATTAATATCAAGACCCGATGAGCTTTCATATGGAGTCATAAACATCCAAGCAACCAAGGTAAATCTAAATGACCTTAAATCGCAGCCAACTTGTGTAGGAAAGCTGCATATCCAGCATTTTTTGTAATTTATATATGTATATGTATGTATGTATGTATGTATGTATGTAATTGGCATATTTATTTACAGAAAAGCAATTTGTCATCAAAGGGCAAGGGTAAACTATAAAATTGAAAATCTCAGTATTGTTGTTCTTTTCAAAACTATGAGAACTTTGTTGTTGTTGTCACTGCAGAAACTACACAACTGATTATAGACCAGGAAAACTGATTACAAAATTACACTGGTATTTGTTATGCTTTAGACAATCTGCTTCCCTTTCCCTTCTATCTCTGATGGGGTGCTGCTCTTCTCCCACTTTAACCTCATATATAAACATCTTGCTTTTCCAGTGAAATGGAACGTATTTGAAAACAGACCTTAGTTCTGAAAAACCTCAATGCACGATCAGGACTCTTCATGGAATCATTTGAATTATAGGGCTCATTGTAACAGCCATGAGCACAGCTTTCATAGAGGTTCTAGACTGTTTATTAAAGTAGCATCTGTCATACAGCAGGTGAAAAAGGATAGATTTCAGATCAGATCAAATGCTCTATTGTTCGCCCCTTTGAACCAAGAAGCAAGAGAGGTAAACTTCAAAAAGACTGAATCAAGGCTTCTTATCTCCGACAGGGGGAAAAAATCCAGTCGAACCACTGATGGACTATTTGTTCCTGCCTCTGATAAAACCTTTATTGCACTGAGGGCTAAATGTTACTTATCTCAGTGTTGGGCTTAAGACTTTATAGTAATTGACTCAAGATGTGAGGCTTTGCCAGACCAACCAGATTTACTGTGATGAGGCTCAAATCCCTGTAATGGCCCATCCAACACTCTGATTGGTGCGTTTTATTGTCTTTCAGGACCAGCAAGCCAATGCAGAGTTGGCCAAGATCATGGGTGAATTTACAGAGTCAGGAGATCAGTCTCCCAGTGTCAGCAACAAAGGGGACGACCTTCTGGCCATGATGGACGGTTTGTGACATGGTCACAGTGACAGAAATGGCCAGGGATTGGGAACATTGCGTTGTCAACAGTCCGCACTACTAAAGACCAGTCTGCTTTCCATACCTGCAAATGCACTACAGCAGAATCACATGCAGCCAGAAAAACTGCTTGCTCAAGTGCTTTTACAAAGCAGATGTGAGCAGTTTTGTTGTCAGACGATCAGCTGCATATTTGCATTCAAGAACAAAGAATGTGTGGTGAGGCAAGCATTAAGCTGTAATAGTATGTTTGCTGTAAACACAAAGGTATTTCAGTTCAATGTACAGTTGGCTTATTGTATATTAGTTTATTGACCATGTGATAATAGCAAAACAAGTGTTTATACGGTGCAATATCTTGCAGTTTTTATTCTATTCTATGTAATATTCTTTAAATTCATTTATTTTAACAGTTGCAATGACCGAACAGTTTGAGTCAATTTTCAGACTGAGTCCAGTTTGGTGGTTCTTTATTTCTAATTATTCCCCTTTTGAATTGTATCTTAATTTACACCATCCAGAGAAGAAGTTTGTGAATTCTTCTGTTCTAATGAACAAGTGACTACGTGATGAGAGAAGTGGAGGAAACCCAAGTGCTCTTTTTCAGTGTGACATGAATTCTTTAAAGTCTTTATTTGGTAACAAATGTTTTTGTTATCATACTGTTCTACCTTAAAAGAGTCTGAGGAGCAACTTGTAAGACATATTCCATTATCCTGTGATGTGTATGTATGTAAAGTATAGAAATGTGCTTATAGAAATGAGTACATTGTTATAGTATAACATAATGCAATATGACTGTGTGATATGTAAATATGTTTATTGCATATACTTGATTTTCTATGTAGGCGAGTCCATATTGCTGCTTTTGTTGAATGTGCAGTGTAGTGTTTGGGGGGTTTGATTTTTGGGTTGTTTTTGTTTGTTTTTGTTTTTAAATTTAAAAAAAAAAAAAAATCTAATCTCTTGAAACGATTATTGTGTTAAATGCATCACCAGTTTGGGTTCTGATGCAACAAAGGGTCATGAACCTTGAAACAGCTTGTTGTAGTTAACTCTTTCAAGCAGTAGGTGGCGCGATCTGACTTTGCAACACAGTTTGTATTGTTAAGCAATGTATCACACGGGACTCCACTTAGTTAAAATCCTGCAAAAAAAAAAGAGAAGAAGATGGGATCTCTGTGGAGGACTCAATGAAGTGTATTTTAAAAGTCAGAGCAATTAAGGCTTTGTATGCTTAAGCATTTACCAGCAAATTTGAAAACTACAATCACCATGCTTCAATATCTCCACAAAACTTCTCTTCTGCAGTACAGACACCTAATGAGAACTGCTACTGAAACAGTTGTCTCTTGTACATGTTATGTCTGCAGTCAGACTGTGATTGTCTCACACTCACACACATCACAATGGAGCATACCATGCAAGCAAAACATGCTGAGACACTTCTCCAAATTTATCTTGGGGAGGAGGATTCTGGTGAGGTCTTCCCAATAATCTTGGCAAAGGGGAGACAAGAAACACTGTATGCCCTAAGGATACAGCCTACTTCCAAAACAAACAGAAACTTAAGCTCATACCAGTCATCCTGCAAAACTCTTTATTAGAATCAGCCACCTGAATCAGCAGCACTTCAGAAGAAACTGTGCTTCACCATAAAGCTTTGCAAACAAAAACTGCAGTAATATAAAAAGGGGGATGATTCTGAATTAATAATGTCCATGCAGCCTTGCCCTAAGCATGATAACAACAACCCTCTAACAGGTTTTTCCCATAGACCCCATATTTGAGTTATGATTCAGTTTCCTCTTTAAAAACTGTGGGCAGGACACTAGAAAGCCACAGGGTGATATGCGTTTCATGTGGCTGGGGGTATATGCTCGGCTGAGTCAAGGCAGGAAGACTAGTGCAACTCAAATAAGGATCTGATATTTAGGTTGCCCTCTCTGTGTCTGTCACATCTTCCCACTGGTTTGAAACTGGTACACGTGGGTGGAATTTAAGGTTAAGGTAAGTCTAAATTGAGATGGGTGGGCTCTCCTAAATGCCACTGTCATTCAAGACTGTTTTTACTGAGTAAATGACTAAGACTTTTACTTTTGAGTGGGGTCTACTGGTTAGCTGTTGCTGAATAACATACAGAGAGCCCTTGTCGAGAAGACATTTCTCCAAATTGATCTAGAGGAGAGGGACGAGATATCGTAAATATTTTATGTATTTATCAGATGAAGATCTGAATGAACTCAGTGATACACAGTTTCACTGAGTCATATGGTTGAACTAAATTAAGTGTACTATGTAGGTCATTAAAGAGAATCTGCAAGGTAAAGCCTTATGAAGCAACAATTCAGAGATCTCCTTACGTAATTGTGCACAAAAAAGTTAAATGAAAAGTAAAGTCAGTGAGTGAAGTTAAAGACTGCTGTGTTTAATGTAATATTATAAATTATACGGAATTCCCTTTAATGTTAGATTTAACAAATGCAAGTTGTTTAATGCAAAAGCTTCACCCCTATTAATCCCTCTTCATTGTGAGTACAATATTGCTCAAATAAACAAAGGAAAAACCCATGATTTAAGTTGCCAGCAAAACATGACATTGCAAACAACATCCTTCAGTATGATTTACAATAAGCCTCTTCAATTCTTATGTAATCATTTTCACTTTGCAACTTTTATCATGCAAAGATAATATTTTTTAAAATGCAAGAAAGAACGCTAATTAAATCTTAGACTGTCTGGCAGACAGTCTTGTAGCTAAACTTCTATTTGCATAGAATTTCATCATCACTCTGAAACGGCTATGAAAAAACTGTCTGCATTGGTCGAGTGCGGCTGTCAATCAAATAAATTGTGTGCGTCATTTCCGTTGTCAGGTGGCGCTGTCGCTGTGGAAAGATGCGATCAGCGAAGAGCGGAGGCTTTTCCTTAATTGCTCATTTCGGTAATAGAGGCTAAAAAAAGCCGAAAGCAAACCTCTGTGGTGTCTGCTGTTTAAAGCGAGAAGCGCCTCACATCTACCACAGCGTTCACCGAAGAAATGTCCATGTTTTAAGGAGGCGACACAGATTTAACCCGGCGGTTTAGGCTCGAGGTAAGTGAGATGGTGACTACGTTGCTATCTAGCTTTCTGGCACGGCTAGCCAGCTGTAATGTTACCTACTTTGTTTAAATGGCCTCCCGCCTGCTCTGTAGCCTCGAGCTTGGCGTTAGCTCACATCGCTCGCCAGGAGCAACCATATTTAAACCTCTTGGGTATGCGAGAAGACACGCAAAGCAGCCGTATTTCAGCTAACAACCACTCAGTGTAGTTGTCACCGAAATACTAACTCCTTGTTGTGCTGTGTGCCCCCTTTGTGTGGTCGGTAGATCCGTATTTAGCCGAGTAAATCGATCATATTCGCTGCCGTACTAAGTTTGTATGCGTGCCTAACATTGGTTTTATGTCGCTGTCGGTAAGTGTACAATGTAAAAATAACTTGCCTTGTGGTGTTTAAGCAATTGCCACAATCAAGCATTCATTTATTCGCGCTTTGCAGTCTGGTTTAGATGCGTGTACCTAAACGTTTGAGATCGTTCAGATAGTTTTTGTTCAGAGAGCTCTATACAAGAGCCAGACATCAGCGTCTGGCTGCTGGAGTACTGAGCTGCCTGTAGAGTGAATTTGTCCAAGTTGCAAACCATAACGTCAGCGCTTTACTCTACGACCCATCTCGTTTACAGTGCTTGCTGCCAGGACTGAACGGTGTCCAGTCCAGACCTTGTGGTTGCAAAATGGCACCAAACGACGTGTGGCAGTCTGCGTGTGTGTGTGCGCGTTTGTAGTTATTTTTGTCAGGTGCTTTGCAATGTGACCTTGTGTCCACGACGTTGGTGTATGGTCAAGGGCGTTGTTTTTGCCAGAATCTAGTCGGCTGCAGCTAGGAGCAAGGGCAGCGTGTGAACGGATATCAGTAGCATTGCATTTAAGCATAAGGACTGGAGATCTGACCTTGGAGTTACTTTGTCTGTAACTGGCTTTGCATCTGTGCATGTGTTGACTTATAGCATACCTTTCTGCACGGTTTTACTTTGTAATGTTTACTACCGAAGTGCCATTTTGCTTTTTCTCCATCTCTGTACTACCTTGCTATCGCAGTTCAGCTTTTCTTGCAGGCCAGACGAGTGGCTTGGAGTCTGGGTGGGTGGATCTTGAGACACCTACGTGGTTGTTTTGTTCTGATACTATTTAAGGAGCCCACATTTCTCGTGGGCACTGGCAGCGTGTCTCTCCTCCTTTTGTGTGATATGATTCAGAGGCTTTATCTGTTCTTGTCCTCCATCTGATACAGGCAGAGGCAGCCTTGCTTACTAGATCATAGGCTGTGCAGAGAGGCACAGCAGTGTCAGAAAAGGAACCGTGTGTTGTCATCACACTGAAGTAATTTAGGTCAGTGTGGATAAGTTGGTTAAATTGACCTTTGCTTTCTTTGATGACTCTCAGGTTGGCTCCACAGTACTGCAGCTAGTTTTTAGTAAGTACATGAATAGCTTTGGGTTCATTTGTGTGTGGTATCTGCCTATGAGTCATTTTAGTGTTGTAGTTCAAGGTGCATAAGCATTTCGGCTTATTCGGTTGGAAGAGAGAGTTGCTCCATGTACTTATTTAACTCTAGCACTCATCCACAATTTAGTTTATTTTCTGGAAACACTGGAAGCCCCGTGTACACGGTTCGTTCTGTTAGCTTCTTTGGCGGCTGCCTGAAAAATTAATTTCCTGCCCACAAGTCTCATAAATTGTAATGCCTAATTATCTGTTGCTTTGTGTCCTCTAGTGTAAGATGCTTTCTTACTACTGGCAGCATGACTTGGTGTCACTCTGGCTTGTGCCATAAATGCAGTCAGAAAACCTCAGCTCATCAGACTCAGTGGGTGATGACTAGTGGAGATGGAGACAGATGGGCGAGAGACATGATGATGACACTGTCTGCTGTCTGGGATCACAAAAAGCCTCATGGAAGTGAGAATTCATACCAGCTCTACTGACTGCCAACTGTCCTGCCTCCTCTCTGCCCAAAAAAATCACCAACTGGCAGTGGTGCACAATTAGTTTTGAAACAGGAAGATGGGCAGATTCATTAAAGAGAATTTTCTGGAGTTTGTCGGATGTAAGATTGAGATATTCTAAAGCTTTTTGGGTCTCCATCAAACTTTAAAAGATGTTGTATAATATAAGGTTTTTGTGTGTGGGGAATCTCTGCTGTGGCTCAAATATGCATACTACTTATCAGTGACATTTAACGTAGAGATGCGACACTCAGATATATCACTTGTATGTGGACATTTTGTGTGAGCTTTTCTATCTCTAAGCTGCACCTGCCAGAGGCTTGTGCAGACTCTTATCGGTGTCATCGCCTAGACTTTTAAGGCTCTCTGGACGACAGCTGGGTGAATCATTCCTCTCGGTTCAGGGCACTACTTCCCTGTTATGGGAAACGGATGGGGTTTCATTACATAGGAACTCGGTATCAGTAAACAAAACATGCTGCATACCTCTTGCTCTCTGAATTCTGGGAGGCAGATCAGATCTGCTGTGTCAGTTAATGTAGTTTGTGCAATGATGTGTCACACTCTCTCTGCTTTTTCTGGCATGTGAATAAAGTTCCTATCAGGACACTTTATTTATTTTTTATTTTTCCCCTCTGTAGTTATAATATATCCGTTCAGATCCTGGCTGTACAACAGATTTAGAGCGGAAGGATTTTCTGAATCAAGTCCACTGCAGCAGGAAAAGCTAAAGATTAAAGTATTAATCGGAAAAGCTTCCGTTTTAAACCGTCTTGTGCAAGTGGCTCTAATTTATGTGAAAGTGCTAGCTGTTTAAATTGCAGATTTTGGCACATTAACATAGGCTGTTGGAGATTGAATCT